CGCCAGCTCAGGCCTTCGGGTTAGCAGAGCCCGCCATCACCTGCCAGCAGAGCCGAGGGGCGATAGAGAGGTTCTTGGGTCTGACACACTCGGATTGACCTTGTCTGGAGCGTTGCTCGGTTTGTATGTTTGTACAGGGGTACAGAAAAGCTTCTGCTGGGGGTGAAACTGGTTCCTGTGGTGTGGTGGGACCGAGGTTACACCACAGCTCCCGATACACCAGCCTGGGCAGCAGCGGTGTGGTGGTTTGGGTGGAGGCACACCTTTGGCTTGCAGCTTGCAGCCAAACACAGCCTGCTCTGTCACCCTCCCTGCCCTCACCCGGGGAGTAGGGGACAGAATTGGAAGGGAAAGGGCAAGGAGACTCACGGGTTGAGATAAAAACTATTTACTAATTAAAGTAAAATGATAATGATAACAACAGTTATATCAGAACATACAAATGAGTGATACACAGTGCAATTGCTCACTACTTGCCAACTGATGCCCAGACTGTGCCAGCCAGCGATCCTGGAGTAGACACTCTCCCCAAACTCAAACCCCTGAAGAGCGAGCCCGAGCAATCCCCGAGAGAATACCCTCATCTTCCAGTCAGCCCTGGTTAATATACTGACATGACATGATATGATATGGAATATTTCATTTGCACATTCAAATGTCAATTCTGGGTTTTGCTATTCACTGCAGCTGTGAATCAGCCAAACACTGTGGCCTCGAGCTCCAGCAGCAACTCATAACATTAGTACTTTTATCAATGTTCTTCTCATAACAAGTCTTACACTGAAACTAAAACACAGCTATTCTCACTACTCAAAATAAAATTAACTCTGTCCTAGCAAAACCAGCACAAGCGGTCAGCTTGTTCCTGTTCTGTCCTGTTGGCTCTCATGGTAGGTGACCCTTCCCAGCCTGTTGACACTTCTGTTTGTGGATCTGCTCTGGAACATAGAAAATGGAAATGACCTGATTAAAAATCCATCCTTCCTTCCTTCCTTCCTTCCTTCCTTCCTTCCTTTCTTCCTTCCTTCCTTCCCTCCTTCCCTCCTTCCCTCCTTCCCTCCTTCCCTCCTTCCCTCCTTCCTTCCCTCCTTCCTTCCCTGCGCCAGTGCGGTTTGATATCAGTGCTGTTAAAAAGGCAGCAGGCAGTGGAGCAAAACCTCATGGGAAACTACCACAATTCTCAAGCTGGCTTTGTAGCTGCAGTGCTGTGAGGATGGATGGTTGTGACAGCTTTGTCAGGGCTACTACTAAAAATTTACTACTATATAAAAAATTTACTGCTAAAGATTTGAAATTTAGCAAGGGCGGGTTCACATTTTGGATATTCATATTGTTGTTCCTCTGAAAAAATCATGATTACTTGACCCAAATGTATCTACAAAAATCAATTTTCACATTCTTAGATTTCTAAAGAGTTTAGTGACTAAAGTACCGGAAGAAATGTGTCTCTGTTGCCTCACAGACAGCAGCTCATGCTGGGTGATCTTTGTGGAATTCGTGTGCACAGTCCAATGTAGAAAGATTTTCCCTGTAATTGTTACTCTGAAGCAAACACTGGAATCATTGGATTAGAGCATTCATTTTTTAAATCAACAGGTGATGTTCACATGATAGAAGCAGATGTTCTTCTTCGTGGTGGCAAGGGAGGAAATGGAGACCCTATCATGGCTCATCCACCTGAAACGGACAGTGACAACACATTGCAGGAATGGCTGAACGAGATCATCAACACAAATAAAGGCATCAAGCTGGATTTTAAGAGGTATCTCCAGACAAAAATATTTTTTATGTTGTTTGCCTTCTTACTAATTAACTATTTTAAAGGAAGTACTAACTGTCTTCTGGTGATGGCAGACCAAACTTTTCCTTATTGTGCAATTTAGTGTAGTGCATTTCTTCCTGAACAGAAAATGAGGAAACATAGTCAGTATTACTAAATCTATTGCAAGAATAAACTTTAAAACTTTGGAAAATTCAAATATATTCCTGACTGCATGTTGAATGACTGTTGGCCTTTTTGAAGCAGGACTTCGAAGTCCTTTCGCAGAGTACATTCATTTCTGTTGATAAAGCCAGCAGGAAATGTGATTATGTGGTCAATCACACTAGACATTACTAGAAATATACAAAATATTTAAGTGCTGTTGAAATAATCTTCAAAACTTCAGCAATGGTATCCAAATAAATATTATCCAAAAGAACATCAAATTCTGTTATCATTAATTTGGCCATATCTGCGCTGTGTGCTTGCAGTTTTTAAATGCTTTTATACAATTAGACTTTTATAATGCAGCATAATTTTCCAAGTGCTGTTCCATAAAAACAGTGCTGTCTGGGGTTTTTTGTTTGTTTGTTCATTTCAAGAGATGCTGCTTTGGGCTTTCTTCTCTTTACATTATCTTGTACTTTGTAGTAAAAAGGAAGGCATTCCACTGGCTTTGACAATCCCTTGTATATGGGAAAATGCGAGCTGTTCCGGCCTCAGGTGATGTGAGAAATACTTAAGCCAGTAATCTTAACTCAAGCCATTACTAGCTTTACTCTAAGAAGACTTGAGCTAATACTAACGGAAAACGTTGAGTAGAATTCCTCCCACTACACAGCTTTCTCAACAGTACAGAAGTTGAAATGTGCAAAATGACTTTTCACAGGAGATAACAGCTCCGTGTGGTTTTTGGCTGTAGAGTTAACCTAACGTAGCAGCTAGCTGCCTTCCTGTTTTTGGCTGCAAATCCTGACATGAGTCATCTGACCTCATCATGAGCCAGGTTAGGGAATAACTTGGTACAGAACCATCTCTACAAAACAGTGAGAATAGGACACTTTATGTCCCTGACCTCACACACTGCTGCTCAGGCAAGCATCACCAGTGATGTCAGAGACTGGAGATACAGTGGCCTTGGAACTGGGAAGATGTGGTAGCAGTTAACCATCATCCAAGTTGTTCAGCAGGCACCCATGGAGCATGTAGCCTGCAGTTTATATCCGTGTGAGCTGGAGTAGTTGTGATCCTCTCCTTGTTCCTCACAGTGCCTTCTCTTCCCCTTCCTTGTCCTGGTGCTCCTGTGTCACCCAGAGGGACCAGCGTAGGATCTTGAACGGGGAAACGTAATCATCCAGAACAGCATGAAGAATTTTCTGTTGGCTCAGCTCTGTATCAGGTCACTGCAAGATTTTGAGGAAAAGCTGGAAGATGTCTTGCTCAGAGCTTTTGACAACTTGCAGGAGAAAACACAGGTCCTTGCTATTAGTAAGGAAATCACAACTCTGACCATAATGATTTTAAATTCCTGAATGTTATACAGAAGGTTAATTAATTTGCTGTAAGAGAAGTACGTATTTTCTTGGCATTCATTCCCTTTGCCCATTACTCCACATTTCCTTTCCTTCCACAGTACTGCTGTTCTGTTTTGTTAGGCTTGAGAAGAGTTATTTTTTACCATCTAGTTACGATTTTTCTTTTGATTTGAGAGAACAGTGAGAGTATGTGACTTAAGATATTTGGTTAAATGCTTACAAGTGCTACATCAGTTGCTCTACTGACTACATCTCATACTTAATAATTAGCTGTAGGGTGAACATCTGATGGGCAGACTGCTTCATGCCGCCACTACTATACCACACTTTCAAGCTGTGGGAAGAACCACTACCAGGGATAAGATGTTCAGATGGGCACCTTTCAATCTATTAGTTGCCTGAAAATGTTCGGGTTTTGGCTTTTTATTCTCCTAGTATGGGTGCATCATCTTGCGCAGAGGTGATGCAGAGTTAGCTTTCAGTCTGTTAACTGGATCTGAAATAGTAATAAAACCCTTGCCACTTGAAGTACTTTTAAGGTTGGGAGAGATTACTTTTACCCTGTGGGCAGTATATAAACTTCAGGGATTATATAAATATTTGTCCTGGTTTTTAGCTGAGAGAGAGAGCTGGGTTTCTTTTTCAGTAGCTAGAATAGTGCTGTGTTTTGCTTTCAGCCGGGACTTGTTATGAGAGAGACACTGAGAACATCCCAGTGTTTGCATTTTTGTCACTGGAAGTGAAGGACTTTGTGTTTTGTCAGTCCACAAGTGCAGGATCTAAGGGGGCGAGGAATATTTAAATTAATAAGCTAAATTGACATTTAGATATGCCAGTGGGATATTCCATGCCATATCCCGTCACGGTCAGTACATTAGTGAGGGGCTCTTCCTCTCTGGCTCTCTCTGGCTTTCGCTCAGGCTCTGGCTCTCCCAGGATTGTCACTCCTCCGGGATCGTTATCTGGGAACAGGCCGGGCTCGGTCGGCGGGTGGTGAGCAGTGGCACTGGGTATCACTCATTTGCATATTTTATTACTGTTATCATTATCACTGCTATTTTAATATCAGTATTATTTTAAGTTGTCTTTTATCTCTATTATTAAACTGTTCTTATCTCACCCTACGAGCCTCCCTGTCCTTGCCCCCCAGTCCTCTCCTGTAGCCCCTGGGGGTGGGGGGGAAGTGGGTGAGTGAAGGTGTTGGTTGCTGGCCAAGGGCTAGCCCAGTGAAACTATGACAACATTCGTGATAGTATTTGTGGCTTTCAGTTATCTTCAGCCCAGTGGTCTAATTTAAACAGAAGTGTTAGAGCATGCAGTGGCCTTTATTAAAGTCCTTTGCAAGCATTCAGTATCATCCAAGCCTGAACAGGTTACGAGTTAGAAGAGCCATGAGGTAGGAGCCGTGAAGCAGTTCATATTGGGCAGCAAGGAGACAAGAGACTTACAGTACTTTAAGCCAATAGTAATAGTCACCTGATGTTGGAAAGGGTCCTCAGCATTTGCTCTCTGTCTTACAGAGACAGTTTTGTTAGTAATACATGTACTGCACATGTCCCATCCTCAGTAGGCTGAGTTGTCTCATCTGTTACTGGTACAGTCTGGAAGCCGTACAACCTTCCTTGGAGCTTCTTGAACACGTGAAGCAGCGTTTGAAGCGACCAGTTTGGATCAACGCCGACATCCTACCAGGACCTAATGGAAATAATGCTGTAGTGGATGCAAAAGGGTTCCTCAACACTGTCACTTCATTTTTCCCACACGTAACCTTGTCACTGGGTTGGACAACTGGCTGGCACCCTGACAAACACAACAAAGGTAAAGATAGAAAATGCAATGCTTACACCACATAGTCTGTTTCCTTCAAATTGATTTCATAATTGATTCAAAATAAGCTATATTCCTTGGCAACTTCCAGGTTGCCCAAGGAAGTTGTGGATGCCCCCTCCCTGGAAGTGTTGAAGGCCAGGCTGGATGAGGCTTTGAGCAACCTGGTCTAGTGGAAGGTGTCCCTGCTGATGGCAGGGGGGTTGGACCTGGATGATCTTTAAGGTCCCTTCCAATCCAAACCATTCTATGATTCTATATGCCATCGTCTCAGTTTGAAATTAATAGTGAATGTAAGAAGAATTATTTTTTTTTGTTGATACATGGTTCATAGTGTATTATATAGCAGTTAATTCAGCATTTGAGTTGCAATCGAACTGTATAAAAATCTGGTATTTTTGTTGTTAAACTATTTTCTTCTTCAGCTCATTCTCACGTACTGAGGAATTTTGGAGGACAAACTGCTTAAGCCCTGTTTCAGGTAGTCTGCTCCCTGAATCCTAGGGGGATTGATTTGATAATCAGAATTCTCGCACGTTTCCTGAAGAAAAATAGATTTGCCAGAAATCCAAGACCCTATCAGTGTGCTTTTGCAGCAGATAACTGAAATAAAATTGTAGGTCAACACTGGTTTAACATTTCATTTCTGTTGAGTAATTTCATTTTTGCAATAAATTTTCTAATTGGTAACTTTTTAAAATCTCAGTTTTGGGAATCTAAGTGAAGTTTCTTATTGTTAATCCCTAGCTGGAATTTAGATCCTGAACATGTAGCCATTATCTTAGGCCTTTTCACAGGCTTCCTCTTATAATTCCCACAGCTGCTCTGTTAGACTGTTTTACTCCAGTGCACGTGCATTTCTGTGCAGCAGCAGCATAGTCCCCACCAGCACTCTCTGTGACTATAATGGTAAAATCAAACACCCTTCCAAATTGCTAATTATTCATTAGCAAGATTTGGTATTGTGTTGTGAGGATTTTGTTGCATGTTACACAGTAATTTTATTAAACTGTATAGTACATTCTCCAGAGTATTTTCAGTGCAGTAAAAAGTTGACAGAAATATGTACCAGAAATACTGTACTGAGTAACCTTTTTTAATAAATGTCACTTTAGCTCCATTCTAAATTTCATTTTATGGTGATGCTAATTAAAGGTACACTGCAAGACATGAGAAACACAGCTTATTTGTCTGATTGCAACTAAAAGTTGCTGTTCACCCAACAAAACCTTTTTTTTTTCAAGATTTGGTGCTTTTTTTAGTCTTTCCAGTCACTACATTGCATAGGAGTAGTTGAAAAAAAAAATTAACTTGTTATTGAAATTAAGATTTTGATAGACTGTAGAAATAAAAGTTAGAAAAACAGTTAAATACCATTTTAAATAGTGCTTGTAAAAATCTCAACAGCGGACACTTCAAGTGGTTTAGATTGCTTGATTTTAGTATTTTTTAAGCACAAAATCTTTTACTTGCTTAATTTGTATGTAACTCCAGTCCTACTGGATTAATTACTCTTTTTTTCAAATTTTTCATAATGTTTTTGTATTAAAGGGTCACTGTCAAGTTAAAACTAGTCCGTATTGAAGTCAGTGGCAGCAGTGTTTTTTAGAGAAAGGACAAAGATACAATTCCCTGGACATTAAAAAATGTCACGTTCTGTAGCTATATGAAAAATAACACTTGCAGTTACTGGAAATAAAGATTTTCAATAAGTTTATTTTTCCACTTTAGTGGTACTTGACTCCCCTGGGACAATGACATTTTTACTTGTGATCACTTGGCAATCTCATTTCAGCGTTACGTGATTTTCGCAGAACTCATATTTGCCCTTGTTTTGTCTTACAGCCTGACCATTCCGTAAGTCATTGCGTCTGTGTTTTGAGAGAGATGGTATTTGTGAATAACTCTTTTTAATCAGATGGTCTTTACTGTAGGTTATGATTGGATGATGGTGAAAGAAATGGCTCAGATATGCAACGTGCTTTCCCAGCCTGTAACTTTCCCTGTAAGAGCAGCATTAGTACGACAGTCAGTACCTGAGCTGAGTTGGTTAATCCAGCAGTCGGATAGGTAAGTTTGAGGGCCTTTATTTTTAGCTGTCTTTATTATAAAGACACATATTTCTTTGTATTAAATACAGCACATTTCTGTGTACATACCTATCCCAAATACACTGAAAATATTTTTTTCTTTTAATTTATCCCTTCAGTTCTTTAATTCAGTCAGTTCTTAAATTGTTTTGTCATGCAGAAGCGGTCACTATTCATTTCTTTAAAGTAATAACATTCCAAAAGCCTCTTTCATTACCTATAATAAGTAATTTTAAATCTTGTGTAGGTTTGTAATCCAATTCCACTACAAACATTTCATAAGACTAATATAGCTAAATAGACTGAATAGCTTGATGTTGCAATTTGGTATTAATTAAATTTAAGTGCTTACCTTTTACGTATATTTTTTTATTGGAAGGAGTATTTATATTATCTGTAGTAATGTTACTTAAAAACATCAAAGGTAATTTTTAGATTGGAAGTCAGTGAGTTTGCCATGAAGCTAATTAATTTTGCTTAGGTACTTGAAATACATTCAGTGGTTTCTAAACACTGACTTATATTTTGTCCTAAAAATTGGTCTTACATAATAATTTAATTACAAAATTATTTATATGTAATAGAATGAAAATAAAGTGCGTTTCATACGTATTGTCATTTACTCATCTTTTTCACCTACTCTGCCTGCTTACGCTTTTAATAAAGTTGTTCTTTAAGCACCAACAAGGTCAAAGCCCAAGACGGAAAATTTAAGACAGTCACTTGTCTGGAAAAATCTCTAAGTAATTAGATACAACAGGGTCAACAAATAAAGTGTTGTTATTCTCAGTTACAGTGGAGAATCGAGGGAGAAATTAGAGTTAAACATTTTAAATGGGGAAATTAATTTCAAATTATTGTTATGTTAAGAATATATCTTGTGAATTCTACCCTTCTTGAGTATATCCTCATTGGATACAAGCATTATTCCCACTGAAATAGTAGGATTTTCTCTTTTACCTGAGCATAAAAATAGATATTTTTTTTTTAGTGGCATGATTAGAAGACAGAAATACCTGAGACAGTTTTGCTGACGTACCACTAAATTCTGATTTACCTGTATTTTAGATTAATACAATTTAAATAAACAAAGGGAAAAGTGAAGTAGTTGTCTTGTGAAGATTTTGGAGGGTAATGCTTTTAACTTTAAATGATACTTGGAAGTTTTTCTGTTGTTTTGAAAAGTTCCAATAAAGTCTGTGCAATTACTGAGAGAACTGTATGTGATACAGTACAGAAGATACATTCAGTGAATCGGACAGCATCACTACACCTCACTTAGGTGACCAAACATGAGAGTATAAACATCACCTACGACTGAGATTGCCTCATATTTTCTGCTCTAATGCTCTGCTTGTAGCTTGTAGCTATTTATCTGTAAGTAGCTTATAGCTATTTATCACGTTGTCAGACTTTAAATGCTCAGTTTGGTACATTTCTTTGTGGGATATCTGCCTAAGATTTTTTATTTTACTCCTTGCTAGGTTTGTCAGGACAGTTCACACAAGCACCAGGCTAGATGAGAGATAAATTGTTCTGGGCAGTGTAGGATTGTCCATCTTAAAAATTTTGCAGTCCTCCTTGGGAAGTTACAGATTCACAGCATGGTGGGG